CAAGTTTGAAAAAGACAGATGCACCCCTATGTTTATCGCAGCACTATTTACAATAGCCAAGAAATGGAAGCAACCTAAGTGTCCATCAGCAGATGAATGGATAAAGAAGATGTGGTACATATACACAGTGGACTATTATTCAGCCATAAGAAGAAAACAAATTCTACCATTTGCAACAGCATGGATGGAGCCAGAGGGTATTATGCTCAGTGAAATAAGCCAGGCGGAGAAAGACAAGTACCAAATGATTTCACTCATTTGTGGAGTATAAGAACAAAGAAAAACTGAAGGAACAAAACAGCTGCAGAATCACAGAACCCAAGAATGGACTAACAGTTACCAAAGGGAAAGGGACTGGGGAGGATGGGTGGAAGGGAGGGGTGGTGGGGAGAAAGGGGGCATTACGATTAGCATGTATAATCTGGGGGGAGGCACGGCCAGGGCTGTGCAACACAGAGAAGACAAGTAGTGATTCTACAGCATCTTACTATGCTGATGGACAGTGACTGTAATGGGGTTTGTGGGGGGGAACTTAGTGAAGGGGGGAGCCTAGTAAACATAATGTTCTTCATGTAATTGTAGAGTAATGATACCCACCCCCCCAAAAAAATGGCACCCAAAAAATTGTTGCTGAAATTACCTGTGTGTGGGGAAGTTTTTGGAACAGTCATGTCTGCACCCCCTAAGACTGGGCTCTGGTGCAGACACTGGGGTCCTTGGTGGTATTTCATGCTATCCTAAGGGGAACACTTAAGGCTTAAACCCTGGAATAAGATGCAACCTCCCAGAATTTCCTTTAATCCTAACTGCAGCACTGAGTGGGAGGGAGGCCTTGGTCCCATTTTGCAGATGAGGAAAGCAGGTCCAGTGAGGTGAAGAGATGGAGTCTGGGCAGTGCCACGTCTCGCTTGTGGAGACCTCAGACACCTCAGGGCCTAAGACTTCTCTGCGAGTTGAGCCTGGACCAGAAGTGTCCTAAGGCCTCTCTGGGCCTGAGAATGGGCTTTTCAGACCCTGTGCTGTGCTGGTCCAGGGGCACAGTGAAAGAGTGGGGTCAGGGGCTGTGAGTGGCCAGGCTCCATCTGCCTCCAGCCTGGCTCTTTTCCTTAGAGAGTGAGCACCAAGGAAAACCAGAACATGCCCAGCACCATGCAAATGGGACAGAGCACAGAGACGCTGAGATGGACAGAAGGAGGGAGCAATGGCAGAGCAAGGGGAGGTGGGGGCAAGAGGGAGGAGGCAGGCAGCTTTGAAAGTGACCATCACATGGGTGGGAACTGGGTCCTGGAGTTGGAGGCCCACTCCCTGGACCAGTTCCTAGTGGTGTCCTTGAAAGGGGCCCATACCAGTCTCCTAGTTTTCTACCTCCTCCTGCCCCCAACAAACCCCCACACTGCTTGCTCAGCTCTCCAGCCCCACCATCACCTCCACATCCTGTGCCCCCCAGGCCAGGGCCAAGCCTGCCAAGGACCCTCCTCCTGCCCTTCTTGGGATCCTGCTCTGTTCAGCCTTGGAGGGTACCACAGCGGCCTCCTGGCCTTGAATCCAACTTTGGGCAATAGGTGGGCTCTTGAAGTCCTGGCTGTCTTATCGTGGGCATCTTGAGGGCTTGGGCTTCTTTGGCCCGCACTGGCAGGAATGTTCTCATCGCCCTTCTCTCCAACCTTCTGTTTTGTCTGGCTTCATGGGAGAAGGAAGCATGAGCAGGACCCCAGGCCAGGTGCCTGGAGAGGGAGGTACCCTGCTGGGGGTCTGGGGCATCTTTGGTTTTGCTCACTCCCCACAGAATCACACAGCCTGACTAGCTACGGGCACATGAGGTCAGGCCACATCTTCAGAGCTCTGTCTCTGCTCCCTGCAGTCCTTCATCTGTTTATACCAAACACAGTAGTAGGGGGTGGGTGCTGTCTGTGTATAGTGACAACAGGGGCGAGTGTGCGGAAGGAAGCTGTTCCCCAGGCAGGCTGTATTTGTCCATAAACACAGTCCACCCCCTGCCCCAGGGCAGAGGAGAAGCAGGGAACTCAGCCCAAGGGAGCTCTCTCCTTCTCTGCCCTCAGAGGGAACATTATGGGCACACCCCCGCCCTCCCCACCGACAGGCTCTCCCTCCCACACCAATCCCAGAGTTGTTTCCACAGCAAGCTGGACTATGTTCTGTAAACTCCAGTCCCCTAGCAGGCAGCCCCAGTGAAAGGACAGGCGTCCTGCCGTCATTGCACCTGTGTATGCTGGGGTGGGGGTGAGCTGGGGGGTAGGGGGAGACCAGTGGGGAGCAAAGGCCCTTTGTGGGTCCATGTGATGCTATGTGCCTGCTTGCCCTGTCCCCTGGTGCAGTCAGCCTCCTCCCATGGGGTCACATAAGGGGTCCGGGCCCATGGGTCTCCAGGACTCTACATGGCTTATGGACCTGAGGTCAGTCTTGAAGCCTGAGGGTGCCCCTCACCGTCTCTGGGCCTCTTGGGGAATGGTGGAAGGTGGCTGTCCATCCCTGTGGTTTGTTTTGCTGCACGACTATCTTCCCTTCAAGTTGATGATTGGTGGGGAACCCAGGAACACTATTTCTTGATTTTCCCCCAGCTTGGGCTACCTGATAGATCTCAAGTTTCCTAGAGCCCTGGGTACTCAGCCAATAAGAGGCCCTAGGCCTTGCCCCCCTTTTATGTGTATAAAAGCTAAGGCCCCAAGTGGATGGCCCAGTGGGTCCAGTTCAAGCCAGTGAGGAGCTTTCTGTGTGTGGCTGGCCCCACCCCCTTTCCAAGATGCTGTTTTGGCACAACCAGCCAGAGCACCTGTGGCCCAGTCCTGGGGAACTGTACCCTGGACCTCCAAACAGCTTGTTCAGGTAAGGGCCAGATCTCCTTTCCCTGGCCCCCAAGGGGAACCCTGTCCCAGGGAAGCAGCTGATATGGTGAGGGCATCTGTTTCAGGGATAGGCTTCCTGCTGTTGGGCTCCTTTAGGGGTGGGAAAGTGGTCAAATGCACCTGGAATCTAGTGTGTCTTGGGACATCTCAAAACACCCTGACCACTCACGCAGACACTATTTTGGGGCACTTACTTGGTTTCAGGCAAGCTCTGAAGTTGCAAACAAGTAATTGATGGCAGATATTTGTAGATGTTTGGTAGTATCTGAGATGTGCACCTGAAGGGAGGTCTCCCAGAGGCCAGAGGAGCTGAAAGGGGGTCCTTTAGGCCCTGGCTGCTGCTGGGGTGCCTGCTATAGGAAACTGCAGGCTGCCTGGATGAAGGATATAGCAGAAAGAGCCAAAGCCCCCTGGCGGGGGGTGGGGGTGCGGGCAGGGCAGGGCAGAAAGCCAGCAGTGCCGCCTTACCTGGCAGGGAGTCCCTGCCCTTGCCCTACCTGAAGCAGGAGGAGCTGCCCCACATCCCCAGTGCAGAGCCTCCTTGCTCCGCATTCCGGTACGTGCTCTGTGCAGCCACCTCGCCGGCTGTGAGGCAGCAGGAGGAGACCCTCACCTACCTGAACCAGGGTATGCAGACCTGGGGGAGAAAGGGCTTAGCTTAAGTGGGGTAGCAGCTCTGGGGGCTGGGCCTAGGGTGGCATGGGGGTGGCAGGCACTGTCTCTGCCCCTCAGAGAGGGGCTCACACATCCCCCTAATTTCTCCCAGGCCAGTCTTATGAAGTGCAGATGCTCTGCAACCTCAAGTTAGCAGATGCCACCCAGTGGGCCCGGCTGTTGAAGGTAAGTGCATCCCCTCCCAGAACTGGCAAAGGCCAGATATGACTGTCCCTCTGGGCCAGAAGCCAAAGTCATGGCTGTGATGTCATTGTTAAATAGAAGCCTCTTCAGTCTACCTTTTAATCTGACCTTCACAGCAGCTCAGTGGGAGCAGGAATTGTTGAGGAAACAGGCACAGAGAGGTTAAGTATTTTCTCAAGGACACAGAGTCAGTAAGTAGCAGAATCAGGATTTAGAAATACATTTACATAGCATTATTCACACGCATGATTCCTTCTCTCAAAAAAATTATTTAGCTCACATTCATTGCCAGAAACTGTTCTATGTGCGAGGGATTCAGCAGTAAAGAGAGAGATATAGTTCCCTTCCTCAGGGGGCTTGAATTCTACGGGGTGAGACAAAATTGTAACTACATAAATTATATGCAATTACAAATTGCAAATTGATAATTGCTGCAAAGAAAAGAAACAGAGTGATTAACAGTGGGAAGGGATTAACTTCCCCATTTTACAGATGAGGCAACTGAGGCTCGGGGTCTCTAGGTTACTTTCCCAGTTTCACAGCTTGTGAGTGGTGGTGGATGTCTGGCACAGATATAGTATTCTAAGTGCTTATGCCTCTTGGGGGTGGGGGGCAAGTAGAGGGGTGGAGAAGGTGGGGTGGTCGGCCTACCGCAGGTGTGGGTACTGGCTCCTAAGTGCCCAGGCACCCCCTGCCCTGCGAGCTCTTTCCTGCGCCCACAGAGTGTGGTGCGTGTGGTGTTCCATGATCGGCGCCTGCAGTACACGGAGCAGCAGCAGCTGGACGGGTGGCGGTGGAGCCGGCCAGGGGACCGCATCCTGGACATTGGTGAGTGGGGAGCAGCCAGGGACCTCTGGGGCTGCTTTCTGGCTTGGACGCCCTTGTGGATGGGGAGGGCTGAGCCCTGCTCCCTGCTTGCCACCCCATGTCTGCAGATGTGCCACTGTCCATAGGGGTGATAGAGCCCCAGGTGCTGCCCTCCCAGCTCAACACGGTGGAGTTTCACTGGGACCCAAGCAAGAGGACCTCCGTCTTCCTGCAGGTGAGTCTCAAGCTGGCACTGGGAGGAGGCTGGAGGTCTAGGGGGGGTCAGGGTGGGGGGCTGCGGCAGCCGCCTGGAGCAGGAAAGGAAGGTGAGTCTGGGTGAGGGTGAGGGGACGAGAATGACTCACTTCCAGAAAGCACCTTGAGAAAAGATGGATAAATGTTTTGAATCTCACCATAGGGAAGGACTTATTAAATGTTAAAGCAATGGAAGAAATTACAAAACTCAGGGCAGAACCTAGCTTGATAAAAATTATAAAAAATACATAGGCAAAGTTAAAAGGAGGCATCAAAAGGGAAAATTGTTGCCTCATGACATATTATGTGTTAATATATAGAAAGTTCCCATATATCAATAAGAAAAAATAGATGAAAGCTCACTAGAAAAATAGGCAAAGGATATAAATTTCTGTAAGAAGTACAAATTGCCAAAAAACATAGTTCAACCTCATAAACTGCTGATTAAAACTATATATATATCCCCTTATTATAGGTATATAAACCCTTGAATTTTATATATATATTTTGAATATTGAATATATTGAATTTATATATATATATAAAATATATAATATGGCCAAGTCTTTAAAAAAAAACGATGATTGGGAAGGTTTGGGAAAATAAACACCCTCATATCCTAAGAATGCAAATACCATTCTGTAGGTAGGGTGTCATTTGGGCAAAATTTATTAAATTTAATGTTCATACTTTTACCCAATAGTACCATATCACAAAATTTAAACAATAGCAGTACTCAGTAAGTACACAAAGATACATTTACCAGCTCTTCATGGCAGCACTGTTTTTCATGTTAAAGGATTTTAAACAATCAAAATGCCCACTGGAAAAGGATTGACTTGTAAATAAGTTTTGGTACAGACTTACAGTGGAAATCATGTAGCCATTAAAATGATGCCTCTGAGAAATATTTAAATGACAAGAGAAACTGCTTTCCTATGAGATAAGCAGAGTACAAACTGGTATTTAAAAGTTCCATTTCTATTCTGTAAAAATAAGCATGTGTGTATACATGTTTTTTTTCTTGCCCAGAGAAATGATAGGAAGAAACAATGCTTGAATGTAAACATCTCTGACAGGTGGTATGGTTGGGAGGTGCCTGTATTCTTTAAACTTTTTCAGTGTTACTCAAATTTCCTATGTTGAACAGATTCCCCTTTATAATCAAGCCATGTTGTCAGAGGTTGCCTGTAAGCCCTTTTTTGGATGGCCCATCATGGTCTAATAAGCACCTGGACTAGGAGTCAGGCAGATGGAGCACTATTTCCATTCCACCACTTCCTAGCACATTGACCTTGCCCAGGTCTCATAATCTCTGTGAGCCTTTGTTTACCTATAAAGTTGTTACACTAACTATTCTTCTCAGGATTGTGGGAGGGCTGTTGAGGGCAGCAGGTGTGAACAGAGGGGAAGATCCTGCTGTCCTTGGAATCCTAGTGCTGGTCAGAACACAGAGGCTGCAGGCCATGGGAGGTGCAGGCCAGGAAGACTTCCTAGAGTAGACTGTTAGATTTAGCAAATAAAATATAGTTAAATTTGAATTATAGGTAAAGAGTTTTTTTTGTATAAATGTCTCATGCAATACTTGGGACATCCTTAAACTAAAAAATTGTTATTTATCTGAAATTCAAATTTAACTGGGCATTCTGTGTTTTGAAATGGGATGTTGTGGCTCAGATGTGAGCAGGAAGAGCTTTCCAGGTAGAAGATACTAGGGAGAACTAGCAGGTGTGCTGGGGGTCATGGTTAGGCTGGCTAGTGGGTCAGCTGGGTTCACTGATGGGTGGGAGAAAACAGCCATACACAAAAGCTGGACTTGACTCTGACGTCAGGGTCAGGAACTTTGCTTCTCATCCCACAACCATAGCCCCTGAAGGGTTTGAACATTGGAAAGAACCTAACAAACTTACATTTTAAGAAAAGACACTGGTTGGGGATGGCAAGTTGCTGTACAAGTGGCTGACGAGACTGGCAGGTCACAGGTTTTAGATGGAACCTCTTGCATGTGGGTGGGACCTGGAGCCACCTGGCTTTCTCTTTGCTTCTCCACCTCAGGTTCACTGCATCAGCACTGAGTTCACGCCTCGGAAAAAGGGTGGTGAGAAAGGTGTCCCCTTCCGCCTTCAGATCGACACTTTCAAGCTCAGTGACAAAGAGCTTCCACCTGAGCACCTGCATTCGGCTGGCTGTCTCATCAAGGTGTTCAAGGTGCAGAGACCCCTTTCCTCTCCCTATCAGGGCCACCTTGCTGGCTGTGTGAATTCTGGCCCTGCTCTGCTGCAGATCCACCTCTGGGTGGGTGGGGGGCTGGATCTCTTTCTTACAGCCCCTTCTGTAATGAGAGGGGGTCTGTGAGGTTTCCTTGTCACCCTCCTGTAGCCCAAAGGAGCTGACCGGAAGCTGAAAACTGACCGGGAGAAGATTGAGAAACAGCCCCTGCATGAGAGAGACAAGTATCAGACTGCCTGTGAGAGCACAGTCTTTGTGGAGGTGTGTGTTGGGGCGGCAGGGGTTTGGAGAAAAGATCCTCAGTGGACACATGGGGAAACTGAGGCCTCAAGGGCTGCCACTGCTCCAGGATCCTCACAGCACCCCCAGCGATTCCACCCGTTTCCTGCAAGGATGAACTGTGCTGTGTGTAGCTTGAGACTTCCAGGACCTGAGCCCTTCCAGCCTGTTTCTCCTGTGCCCCGCATGGCCCCACATCACTTCTGCTCCTTTAGCCTGGAGCAGCTCCTTTCTGCCAGCTCCTCCAGGAAGACTCCCCAGCTACCCCAGCCCCACCTGTAAGCTCCTTTACTTTTTTCCTTTGTGCAGGAACTTTGCTTGTCCGGGGCTCCTAGGACAGGGGCCAAATCTGGCCCAAGGCAGGCCCCTTGTCAGCTCTTAACAGACAGAGATTGGGGAGTGAACAGCCACCACTGCCCTGGAAATGTCCAGGCTGATCTTGCTGTTTGCCCACAGTGTTCACCATGGCCAGAGCTCAGTGCAGGGCCCCACCAGCCTCTCAGTCCTCTCACTCTGACGTCCCCACACTCCTGCAAGCTCCTGTCCCCAGAGAGGTGAGGTTCCTCTCAACCCTTGCCTCCTGGGGATACGCACATGACAGGGCACACTCTGCATGCCAGGGCAGGCCTGGGGAAGGCTGGCTGCACTGCTTTGCAGAGCCCCTGACCCTGCTCCCCGACAGGCTCTGCTCCTCACCACCATTCACCCTGGACACCTTGGGGGGCAGCCCAACTGAGGTGAGTCTTCCCTTTCCAATCCCCCAACCACTGTCCCAAAGACTCAGTGATTCGTTTCATTCTTCAGAATAGGGTGGCCCTGACCCCTGGTGGAAAGATGTGGTATGGTTACAGATTACAAAACTTCCCTGATAAGGGCTGGGCACTTCCCACCGGAAGGAGTCGCCACCCGTCTCAGACTTGGGGCCCCCAAAAGCAGGGACTGTGCTTCCCCTCCCCCTCGTCCTCAGGCTGCAGATCCATGGTGTTACCTGGACCTCCCGCTTTTTGTCTCAGGATCTGAACCCCGGAGCCTCAATCCTAGAGACTCAGCAGTGGTTGCACGGGCACCGGTTCTCCAGCTACTGCAGGATGCTGGCCAATTTCACTGGTGAGGCTGGGGTCTGGTGGGGACCAGACCTGTACGGAATCAGGGGCAGGACACGCAGGCAGGAAGCCTGACTGTCCTGGCTTGCTATGTGCCTTTCAACCACCTTTTATTTAGACCTAATTGTTGCCAGGCATGCTTGCTAGGCTCTCTTCTGTAATTATATACTACCCCTTGAGAACAGGGTTCAGAATGGTTGGATAACTTGCCCAAGGACACACAGCAAATGGCAGAGCTGGGATTCGAATCTGGGTCTGAATCCCATATCTGGATATACCAGAACTATTTGTAGACTAATGTTGGACTGTGTCCCTTGCTGCCCTTGATCCCAGGCCTTTTCCCCAAGTCTGGCTCTGTCTGACCCTGCAGGCACTGATCTGCTGAAGCTTACCCGCCAGGACCTCATCCAGATCTGCGGGGCTGCTGATGGGATCCGCCTTTTCAATACTCTTAGAGACAGGTGCTGGGCACTGCCAACCAGAGTTCCTTTCCCACTAGAGTGGCACTTAGCAACTCAATTAGCAGCCACGTTTCATGGAATGTTCAAGCCAGAAGGTACTTCAGAGACCACTTAGTCCCACTCCCTCTTTTTATAGAGGAAGAAACCTAGGCCCAATGACAGTGACCTGAGGTCAGAGCTCAGCTGGTAGGGCTGGGCTACAAAGTTAGACTCCTGGGACCTCTTTCTTCTGTGGCCATTCCATCTACAGCACTCAGCCTCTGGGGACAGAGATGGACTTTTCTCATCTTCTCTCCCCCCAGGATCTAGCCTTCATTAAATGCCTAAAAAATGCTTGGTGACCTGTTTCCTTGAGACCTGGGAGGTGGGGGTCTCTCCGAGGGATGGGGGTTTAAAATGAGATCTGTTAGTTCAGTTACAAAGGACTGATATTTAAGACTGTTTTCCTGGCCCAGGCCCATCCGTCACCGGCTGACATTGTATGTGGCTCAGGAGGCCCCCAGGAAAGAGAATGAGGTTCCTAAGAACCCTGACTCAGGTGAGGTTCTGGCCTCTCTCTAGAAGACAAGAAATTCAGGTGTGGTTATACGAAACCTCTTCTGGCCTGGGGAGGTGGTGCTCCTCCATTCCCAGGACTCAGGATGCTCTCCCTGAAAATCCCGTCTTCCATGACCAGAGTAGTCCTCTCCTTTTAGGGTATCTCCCTGGGAATACTCCACTACCTAACCTCACCTGATTTTGTCATTCTATTCGTATGTGGGGTTAGAACACAGAACTTGATAATCTTGTTATTGTACTTGGGTTCCATCCATTCATATGTAGGCATCTCAGCTTCTCTAAACTGAGGGCTCCCCTCAGTTTGGCCTCCTCAAAGGTGAGGACCAAGTGGATTTATAAGTCTTTTCCCTTATTTACTCCTTTTCCCACTGCAGCCCCTCCCCCTGAGGCTTTCACCTTGCTCTCTCCTTTCCCCTGGTATCTGGGGCTCCTTCTGGGCACCCTCTCCCAAATTACCTCTGCCCGTGTTGCCCACACTCCCAGGCTTTTATCATGAGGTCTCTCTGGATGAGCTCAGTGCTGTTGAGCTGATGGAGAAACTGGCTGAGCTCTTGGCCCTCCCAGCCAATCAGATCCACCGCCTCTTCCACCAGGGTCCTGGGGGCATCCTCATTCTCCTCAGCGACCAGGTAAGTGGTTCCCTGCAAAGGCCTTGATACCTCTTCCACCTCAGGCTGTTTCCCTGTCCCTACCCTGGCTTATGCTGTTTGGCCCTAAGAATGGAATTGTCTCAGGGGCCCCTTTTTCCTTGCAGGTGGTTCGGAATCTTAAGGATGAATCATATTTTGTGGCTGTGGTGAAGAAAGGTAGGGGTTTTAGAGGGAAAGGAGTATGTCTGGCAGGCCCCAGAATGGGTAAGACTGTTTATAGTGTCTCCTAAATGAAAGTAAACGGTTCCTTGAGGGTATGTGGGGAGGGGCAAGGGACTGTGCTGTGTCCCACCAACTGGCAAACATCTGTTGAATGCCAGCTTTGTGTCAAAGGACAGAGATTCATATAGCTAAAAGACAGCTATTCATTGCTCTGGAAAAATGTGACTGAATAAATGCATTCTCCGATGGGAAAAAATGTCCCCGTTTTGTGTGTCATGGACTTTGTATTAGAGGGGAAGGTAGGGACCCTCTGTCTGGCCTACCCTCACCCAACAATCATAGAAGGCAGAAAGGCAGGTGCCTGCTGGACACCACCTGGGGCAGAGCACTTTTGACTCATCTGCTTGTGGCTCTGGTTGCTCAGATGCTACTGTTTCTCCCTCCTGCTGGGCTACAGTATGCAGGGAGGCTTCCTAAACAGGTGGACTCAGGGTGGGGTTGGAAGAATACCTGCGTCTGGCAGATGCGCCCAGGGGTGCTTGGTGGTTTGGGAGCAGTGCAGGTGGTGGCCAGGGGCCTGCCTCCTCCCCATGATGCTCTCTTTACTGTTTCCAGTGCAGAATCCAGACGGCTACTACCTAGTTCTGACCTAGACACAGGGGTGCCCCTGTTACAAGTGGTGGAGACTGGTGCCAGCCAGGTTCTCTGGGGCTGTGTTCACCAGCCTTGTTAAGATCCCTGGCTGCTTCATCAGGCTGCAGAAGAGCCACACCTCATGTGTCCTACTCCTGGAGAGGATACAAGCAGCCCCCAGGATCACATTTCTGCACAGCAGCAACAGTCGTTGAAACCTGGGGCACAGCCTCCCTGAGTTGAGCTGGCCAAGCCTGTAGGACAAAACACCTCACAATAGGATAAGGAGCTTTTGCCCCAAGGTGTCCTGCTGAATGAATTACCTTTTTGAAATTAATAAAAAGTAACTTAGAAAGGTGTATTTAATGTGTCGTTCAATGCTTGTTCAGTATTCTTGGTATTGTGGTCTGGGGAAATGTCCTCTGCTTTAACTAGAGACTAGGGCAAGGGATGGAGTCTGGGACAGGGGAATAAATAAAATGGCTATTTTTTTTTTCAATTAGTTTCAGCAAAAACTAATCACTGACACGTCCAACAGGCTATCCAACTATCAAATCATTGTGCTAAAAGCTTCAGTCCTAGAGATTTGGAAAATACTACAACTATACTTGAAACTTGAGGCTATGGGGCTTTTATTTAGAAATATAGATGAATTATTAATCTCTTAATTTTTGTTTTAAATCTTTCCAAGTTAAGGTCGTGATTTCCTATGCACATTTTTTCAAAGTTTAGATTAAATTTTGTATTTTACTTTGAGGTCTGTAATTCATCCAAAACTGACTTTTTTCTGTGTATCTTTTTTCCATATAGAAAACCAATTTTTATATTAAATGAAGTACTTTTAAAAAAGGTGATATTGGGCCATATCGTATTGTGCTTTTTTAAAATCCCCTTCCTTCAAAATTGTATTATGAAAAATCTCAAATACACTGAAAAGGGAAAACCTGTAAGCATGGAGTGGAAGACAGGCCAAGGTGCCCTCTTAAAAATATCTGCTTCATTCCTTATAGATCATTTACCTCAGTTTGCTAATCATCTTTGGTGAGTCTTAAACTAGATGGCTTCTGGCTAGGGAGGCTGTGTAGGAGGGTGGAAGGCTCTAACACCTGCCCAATTGATTAACAATGGTTGGGGGAAGGGGAAGTCTGCTTGCAATCTTCTGAAGTTCTAAAACCTCTAAAGTGCCTGCCTCCTCACCCAAGGCCAACTCAGTAGGGACAACTGAGCAGGCACCTGCTTGCATCGCTGAAAGGGACCCTTTAGCCCCAGACAACTAATCCAGACCAGGCTTTACCTTATGCAGAATGAGTGGATTTCAGGTGGGGCCTGTGAGTCCACAAGGCTCTCTGCAAGGGTGTTTCATAGAAGAACAGATTCCCCAAGATGCAAATTCAGGCTACGGGCTTGGCTCCACTGCTCACTCCACCAAAACAGGGACCCTATTGCATTGACTTCTGCATACTCAACCTAGGAGCCTCTGGAACAGACTAGATACTGAAATATTTGTTGAAAGGAATAAAAGCAGCTAACATGAGTATTAATTATGTGCCATTATTCTTTTAATCTTCATAGCTCTAAAGCAGGTAGTTATTCCCACTTTACAATACCAATGAAGAACTGAGAAGGGTTAACTGGCCAAGGTCATGTGGGTGGAATCAGGTAATCTGACTGCAGCTTGTTTATTTAACCATAGCACTACTCCAGTTGCACTCCGGGGCTGATTAAGGGCAATGTTCTGCAGGTAAGGGTCAGGTTGAATTTTTACTAATAAGACAAAGGCTTTTTAGAAACTGATTTATGTCTTCTGCTTTTCTTAGAGACAAGTGGAGTTCATGGCATTTAATAATAAATAAATGAAAGGTATTAAAGGATATTAAGAAAAATAGAAGGATGTCAAGAAGCAGCCCCTTCATTGGCCTCAGGAACCTTTAGAGTTCCAGGGTTCAAGGAAATTAAGAATCACAGCTTCAAATCAGGCTATTTTCTGCAGCAAAATGAAAAGTCTTCACAGCTTATTTCCTTTAATTACATCATAAAACAAAATTAGAACATACAGGAAACAATAATAATTACATAACAATTTACTTTATATATTTATATATAAAAAACAAAAAAAATTTTTTTTTTTGTCCAAAGATTTTTAAAGCAAAAGAAACCCTCTACTGCCACCTTGGATTTTATTTATTTTAAATAACCCTCCCTCCCCACCATTCTCAAGCGCCAAGTGTTGGGTGGAAACACAGTCCTGTGGACAGCTAATGGAACCTGGTGTTAGGTCACCACGTAGGGAACTGTGTTGGCCCCAGGGACTGGCTAAGCATAGGCGCAAGCCTGGTGGAGAAACAAGCAGCAGCTCCTGCATGCCAAAGCACTCCAGGGAAGGCCAGATGGCTGGAGAAGGCTTAGGGCCAGAGAGTGATGTTTGCGATCAGACCCTGCCAACCAACCACCCTCTGCATTTTACCCCCTCAGGGCATGGAGTGGGGTGGGTGGGTGTGGTGCAGGGATTAAACAGCCTTGTTTGAAGATAAAAATTTATCCCACAGCACCATTTACCGTCCATCTCTGTCCCCAGAGTCTGACAGGCAGGGGTGGCCCTCACAGTTCTCTGAGCTCTGCACAGGCCGTATTTCTCAGGTCTGTGCTCTCAGGGTCACTGGAAAGTGAGCAAAGGTGAGGACAGCAGTTGGGAAATGCCCCAGGCAGTTTACTGGGAAACAATTCCTGGGAGGAAAAAGGAGGCGGCCAGAGTGGGAGGCATCTGAAGGTTGTCTTTAAACAGAAATGGAGAAAGGCAAAATTAAGGCCTCTCTTTCTACAGTAACCCTTTGGACTGAGTAGTGACAGACCCTCAGGGGCCAGCTACAAGAGCTGCAGCATGGTAAGAAAAAACACAAGTACTTCTGATGAGCCCCATCCCATGGTCTTGTGTGTTAGAGGTTAGTGTGTAATTTGTGGGTAGTGTGAAGGAGAAGAAATCTCAAGCTCACCTCTTCCTGCACTTACTAGAAATTAACAGTCGTCAGAGAAGCACAGATGAGAAACTATTCTACAGGGTGGGAAAAAACTAATGTAAACCCAGAAAAGTAGCAGCAAAGGTTTCACTTATTACATACAGATCTATTATATAGCACTAGGAAAGAAAATCGTTCAAGTCTTTAGAGGGAAATAGGTAAATTAACCAAACCATGCCAGTTAGAAACTCCTTTTCAAGTTAGGATTTTCTAAGACTACGTTCTCATTCTCTAGTGCCATAAAAAAAGGAAAAGAAAAGAAAAACCAAACAGAACAATAACTTCAGGGGCAGAGAAGGGTTAGGCTAAGGTAAGAAACACATGCGTGTGTGTGAGCAGCAGTGGGGTTCAGATTTGAATCAGTACGTAGTACAATGACAAGCGAAACTTAGTGGGGCAGTTTTCTTCTTCCACTTTAATAAAAAAGACATTACTTCAAAGATTCTCCTGTGTTCTTCGGGTGTGGTAGAGGAAAAAAGGTATGTGTCTGGACACCTCTCTTCTCCCATCTCTTCTTTGGGTAGGGATTCTCTCATTTACTGCCTACCTGCGCTTGCCCCGCGGAGAACCGTGGTCAGAAGCTGCTGGGATACATTGGTGGTTCTTTCCATGGTGCGGATCCCCATCTGACGACTCTGGTTGTGTGTGTGAAAGTAGAAGCCTTCCTTGCCAGTAAGAGGGGCATAGAATTCATTGGATGGAGAGGAAAGTAAATCTACTCACATGTGATACAGCTGTTTCTACATATTCAGGACAGATGCAAGTACCCAAAGCAAAGTACTTCAGAACTGATTATTTTCTCTACTTTGAATCTCGTTTACTATTTTCCCACCCCAATTCTTCAAAACAAGACGCTGAAAAACAGAGATAGGTCCAACTGATACAGTTTTGGTTGCTCATGATTATATTTCCTAAAAGGGAGGTCAACCACCCTGGCTGAGGAAGCACTGAGCATCAACACCTGTGTATCAAACTCTTCCCAGGCTTACTCAGAACACATGAGGCAGAGATGCAAGAAGTACATTATGGAGTTTCTCTTAACGTCCCCCATGTAAGCTTGTCCAAAAACTTCCTGCTAGAAATTAAGTGTAACACTCCTGGGCTCCAAAGATTCACTCAGATGCAGCTGAGAGGTTTTTACTGACTTCCCTAAGGATCAAAAGCTTCAGAGATGCAGAAATGATGTTCCTAAGAATAAAAATGGACAAAATAGGTAGACTTGCCTTGAGAGTGAGAGCTGCAGAAGCACTTCATGCACTTGCCTCAAATGGTAGTTTCTGGCAGGCAGTTAAGTTTGTCCCAAGCGAGAGCGCAAGGTTAGAGCGGCAGGTTCTTTGCTGGAGAATCAAGATGTTAGGTTAGGGCATCTGGATATAGCAAAGACAGCCACATTTTATTCCCAAATTATCTGGGTTAATTATACCCTATTGACATGGTCTTATACAAGCTCTCTGTATCATCCATTACAATTAAAATTTATGATAGAAATAAACGTGAGGAGGGGCTGAATTCTGTACGCTTTTATGATTCTTCCATCCCAAATCACTACAGGGGTGGGAGTGGGGGCGGCGGATTCTGCCCCAAGACATCCTGCCGAACAACCAAAATCTCTTCTTGAACAAGACTCAGCTAATTCACATTGCCTGGGTTTGAGATGGTTAAAGATCCTAGAAATAGTGGGCTAACAGAAAAGGAAATCTTTTAATAAAATGTTCCGGAGGCTCAGAGCATACCACTGAAGGAGTCTGTCAGCCAGGATGCACAATAGGGAGAGAAAACTTCACCTTAAATCATGCACACAGAAGGGAAAGGGCGGAAGAGACCAATTTCCTTTAAAGCTCCTCTCTTACTGGTGCTGTCATGAGCAGTCTAAATAATAAACATTAAATGGCCAAGGGCCGACCATGATCTCAAGTATTCCTTCTCTCCAAACAACACCATCACCTAAGGATATCATGCCCAAACAGGCAGGCGAGAAACCATTCTCTTCCTTCCAGTGACTCTCTCACACTTCCAACAACCTCAAACCAAGATGGGTTACAACACATACTTGGTTTAGGACCCCCAGGGCATCCGCAGCCTATTGTATTAGTAACAATGCATTTTACAAGGCAATTAGAAGAAATGAAAGAACTTGACTGCTGTAGCTTTATACTATATTGAACTGTTCAAAGAGTTTGGAGCCCAAAATAAAGCAGCAAGAAAATATCAGCTTTCCCTCTTAAATGTGTGATATGAGGAATATATGAAATTTGTGACTTATATGTCTGTTAGATCAACGTAATAGGTTTGGAAATTTATAAAAGCCATTTAAAGGAGTACTTTTACATCCACTAAAGATTTTAATAGGAGAAAACATTTTTTACATAAAGCACAATGTGCTTTCATATTCCTAATAATGGAATAAAGGATGAAGCCAGATCCCCCTACTCCTCGCTTTATATTCAACACTTCCATTTCAAACTCAGCACGCAAACACCAAAGACAGTATACTAAGTGAAAAATGGCCTGGCGCCCAGTTACTGAATTCAAGGCTGCCCAGGAGAGTTTGCCAAAATCAGGACAACCACCCAAAGAGGAAGCTAGACAGGAAGCATTTGAGAATAAATCAGCAGCATCATGGGGGTGAGGTGAAGGCTTTAAATACAGAGGGCAAGAATTAGTGTAGGAAGGAAATGGAGAAGCCAATGCAAAAAAAACCCCCCCAATGCTAGAATCACCTTCATGGGGATGATGAAGAGGCTGTAAACGATACTAAAGACACTGATGTATCACAAATGATGCTGGAAAATGTTGGGAAAAGGCTGCTTGAAAAAGAAGTGATCTAGATGTTTAAATAACTTTCTCTAAAGCCATAGCAATAATTCCTCCTGACTACAAGTGTATGGCAATCACTTTGAAGGTACCTTCTTATTTATCCCAAATCTCTTGTCTGTTCAATACTTATTTTCTCATTAAACAAGGCATACTGTTGGAGGTGCTCCGAGCCAGACAAGTAAGCTTTTCCTAGGAGTTTTCTTACACTAATGAAGGCTTGTTGAATTTTCAAGTGTCCCTGATGCTGAGACAGGAAGCATTTCCACCAGACCAAAACTTACCATGTTCTGGGGTCTCAAAGTCCTGGTACATTTCATCAGCTGGTATAGGCTGCAGATTGGCATAAAAACTGTATTTTCATCCAAGCTTGACAGGCCTGAAGTTTTCTTGATAAAGAAACAAGGCTCCTCCATGGCCACATACAAGCTAGTGCTGCACATGCCAGGGACTTTCTCTTACTTAACAGTTCTTGGCCTGACAGGCAGAGGTTGCCTGGGAAAGCCCACATGGACCTGCACATGGTTATGTATACTCTTTGACTAGAGAAACAGCATTTTCAAGATGTTCAGGTAGTGGTGAATAGGGTCTTTTAAACTTGGGTATTTTTTTAAGTAAAGAAGTACCTTAACAGCCGTAATTATTGGGCAATTTAAATCTATACTCACTAATCAATCAGGTTTTGATAATCAATTTGTTTGGACATTATGAAAAAAAGAAAGCTTACGCATTAGGGCAGATGGCTCCTAAATATTTCTCTTTTTAGTTTTGTTTGAATGAGTGACCTGGGGATAGGAATATTACCAGCCACATTTGGAAATGTGTGCACATGTGTGTATATTTGTATGTGTGGGGTATAGCCAGGAGAGTTTCAATTTTAAAAGTATGTCTTTTATATGGTAATTTGAGAAGAGCATAGGGGAAGGGGGAATGAAAAACACAATAATTCGAACTTTTAAAAAGGCATAATAAAATAGGATTTAAAATAAATTTAACATGCTAAATAATGGTGGGTAGTACAGATTCTAAGACCCTTTCATTTGATTGTGGAGAAATAAATCACATTTTATTCTTGTATAAGGCTGGTAGAACCTGCAGCATTGAAACAAGCCTTTTAACAGCCTGGATCATTCAGAAGATCATCTAAGATAGTGGTGGACAGCAATTTATGTCCTAAAACACCAAAGGAAAGCAAGGTCATCCTATAAAAAATCATACAAGGTTTAAAAATCTACTTCTTATACTTTAGAAACTCAGTTTATTTCCCTCATCCTCCATGACTGCCTTTTTGTGGTTGAGGGAGCAGGGCGTGGGGAAGGAAAACTGCTTGACTTTGAGCATTGGGTCACAGCATACCCTGCCCTCAGCTCTGGTGACCAGGTTGGGCAGACCCCCATTCCCTCTCAGTGTTCTCTTTCTGTTGCCCTAATGCCTTCACCTCTCTACCCTTGCATTTCATTCATGGGAATTCTGGAGCACAAGAGAAATAAGACTGACAGGACTGAAAGGGCTCTGGCTCTCTGAGGCTCCAATATTAGATGTGATCCCATCTGTGCTGACATACAAATGGCCAGCGTTACAGGATCATTCTTGTATCTCTGATTGGCTGAAATGGGGGAAAAAAGAGAAACAGTTTGGCTAGACCGCATAGCTTCTCTAGCAGCTCTCCTGTTGAAGCAAAACCACCTCACAGAAACAATTCAGAGGTGCTGCTGGTCACACCTGATCTCAGTGAATGTCTGAGTTTGGGTGGTGGGGGCTTTCAGGCTCAGTTCTGGGAGCTGCTATTCCATTCTTCACTAATAATGCATTTATCTCTCTTCATTAAGTTAGTGAAGTTTGATGGAAGGAAAAATGTGCAGGGAGAATATTGGGCATATCATGCATATGATCATATGTCACAAGATAAAACAGAAACCAAAAGGCAAAGTTTGTTTTCATCAAAACAGTTTTTGCTTAATTTCTTCTCATAACTTTTCTTGCTTCTGTTGTATTTTTCCTTCAGACTGGCAAAGATTCAGGCAGGGTCCCCTAATGGTAGAACTTAGAATTAAAAAAATATTTATTGATAATGTCTCTTTTTTAAGTGTTTGGTTACCCCAACTAATCATCCAAAATGCAAACTGTAAGCACAACAGCAGCAAAAGAGTAACAACTGAGTGTGAGTGAGCAGACTGTGAACAGGTGGCAGACGGGGCAGGAGTGCGGGAGGCGCAACAGTGAACACAGGACAGGTGCACAATACAGAGAGTGACAATTTGAGTTAGTAATTGCATTTGGGCCACAGTGATTTCACTGCAACCATTTAAGAAACCTCTGGGCCAATTACTAAAACACAGGAGGAATGGACGAGCCTTCTTTGTGGGCATACTCAGCATGTTGGCATGGGAACAAGGAAGCACAGAAGCTCTGTAGTCATCTCACAGTGGATGGCTACCATTCATAGGATGCAAAGTAATTTTCTTTCTGGTCCCTACATACAACATATATTGTTTTTCTATGCTTTCCTTGCCCCTGGAGGACTGCATGTTCCAAAATCGCCAAAGAAACCCCTAACAAAATGAAGAAACCGTAGTAGCAGTTAACACTGGGTTTGCTGGAATGCCCCATTCCCTCTGCCTTGCCTGTGATCTTCTTCTGGGCATGTCCAACAGGAATGGTTAAGTTTTACCAATCCACTCGATAAAGCTGGCAAGGACTTCAGTCCCCTGGTCACAGAGCTAGAGTGGTGGGGTGAGGGTGGTATGCACATGTTATGTGTGGCTTTGGGAATCTGGACGCTGCCCTCACTTTGTAACCCTTGCCCAGAATACTGGGGTCGCTTCCACTGGAGACTCCACGGTAACTCTAGAAGTGTCATTAAATACTCAGTTCACCAAGGCTGACCACCTCCATTGTCATAGGATGATGCAGCATCTGCAGAAGCGCTGTCTGCTGCCCCCTACTGATGGGGGTGGAGTGACAGGTGCGAAGTAGGCGTGGACTTTAATATTGGGTAAATGGGTCTGAAACAAGACAGAAACATCATACTAAGAGAGAGGGCTTAAAAAGAAAAAGCAACGTTGCTTTTCAGGAAAAACACTGAGGAAATGAGTGGACATGAAAGCAGGGCAGGGGCTGAACACTGGTCTGGATGTTGAGTCCTGGGTTCTCGTTTGTACTATCCCAAGTTACTCTAAATGGGCAAATCAGCTCACGTAATTTTACGACCTGCAAATAAACTGGGGAAAAACTATACTAATCTCTTCATCTCGTCTCAAGGGGATTCCTACTTGGATTCCCATAGTTGCAAGAAAACTATATAAACTTATAATAGTAATTTTTTCCAAGTCATTGTGGACAATGTTTTTTCTGATACTTAAAAAAACCTCATTATCCTCTTTTAACATGTTTCTAGTTTTTACTGTATAAGTAGCTTCTGAATTCCTACTATGTTCAAGGCACTGTGCTAGCTAAGTAAGAGGGGTACAAAGATGGTCAAATGGAGATCCTGCTCTTAGGGAACTTATAATCCAGACATACACAGAAGTAGCTAAACTGAAGTGGAAAAGTGCTAAGTTACTAGAAGAACAGATAAAGACTCTTGAGGACTCAAAGTTGGAAGACATTCCTGCCAGTCAGGCAGGTCCAGGAATGCTAGTGTGGGAAGAAGAGGCTCTGGTTGACCTGTGGCTCTTCTCTTTTGGTGTGAAAGGAATATGGTTGCAAGGCCTCCCCATAGCAGTTACACTCGCAGTCCTCTAGGTCCAAAGGGAGAGGAGGGACTGAGGTCCACTGGAACTCAGGATGAGGTTTGGTACTCCTTTACTTGCTCAAATGCCATATGGCCAACATGCATTTTTTTTAAGAGGTTGGTTGTAAGGGCCTAATTAAGCACAGTGCCTTTCCCATAGTAGGTGTGAAATAGATGTTGCAATAAATGTCTGTTGAACTGAATAATCTAACATATAGATTCATCCAGCTTTTTTATAACCTCCTTACTGACAATCTCTCAGTCATTTGGTATGCATGGGTCTCTCTACTGTGGAGGATGGGGCAAAAAGAAAAGGTAAAAAACTTTTGACCCGTTCCATTTGTTGTCTTAAAAAATAAGAGCTCCTGCACAAGGGTATGATGTGAAAGGAGATACAAATTAAAATTCTTAAATCCTATTTAACTAAATACTTTTATGTTATTCCTTTCTTTCCTTTAGAACCAAAATGTGGCACATGCCTTTCTGAGTGTGGGCATGTGATGAAGCCTTAGACATCACTGGAGAAGACTCTGCTGGGAGGCCTACTTTTATTCCCTTCAGTGGGTGTTTTTCTACTAAATTTCCATCTGGAACAGGTAAAAACTATCTACCATTAGCTGTGCTCTCTGTATTTTTTTCCTTTGTAAATGTCCAAATAAATATAAAAACCACAGGAATCTAAATCTTAAAAAGAAAATGGAAATGGAGGAGGAAAAATAAAAGGAAAGCGTGGTAAGAACACTAGAGCTGGAGAATGATGTAGCCATCTTTACCCTGAGTCTCTTGATTCCAGCCCGTGTGATTTGCTGGCAGTCATAGAGTTCTATCCGCTCAAGGCTGTGACAGCTCTTCAAGTGCTCCAGGGATGCATCTGTGATGAGTGGGCAGTTGTCCAGTTCAATCACCTCCAACTGGTCATGGGCACAGGCCCCATTCCCCAGGTGACGAATTCCATCATCTGTGATCAGTTATCTTACAGCATTCTTCTAGCCAGAGGCCTGTGTACAACTAGAAAGGAGATGTTCCTGGTTTGATTTTGGTTTCAAGTAATGGAGTCATCACTCGATCCAAGAGGAGAAATGAATAGCTGCTAGGGTTCTGCTTTTGAAAATCAGTAATTCACATTTCTGTGTGTGATTCTAAATATATTGTGTGAATTTATGTACTATGAAATAATTCATAAACAAAATAAAATATCCCTTTCCCATAGATTAACACTTTTCTTCTATACAGGGACAAGTGGGGTTCAAGTTTTTCCTGCACAAAATTTTCTGGAATTTGGACTTGTTATTGAATACCTGGTACAGGGGCAAGTCCAAGCAGCTAATTAACTTAAGATGGTTCTTAAAGATGTCAGGTGTGGTCATCTCTTCACAAATCTCTTCACTTTATCAATTTTCCTTAGATCCCTGATTCCTCCATGTGAAACTCAGAACCCTTGACCCAATTTTAGATAGTAACATGTCACCACACACACCAAAAATAAGCCTAGATAGAGGACAGTCAACCAGAATGCTTTCCCATATCATTAGTAAGGAAGTGGTAGCAGAGACCTCCCCCCTAGTAAAGCCTTGATGGATTCTGTTTTACAGGAGCATCTGGTCCCAAGGTGAAGCAAATTTTATTTTAGACCACCTTGTTCCCTGGATCTCTGAAATTTACACATCATTCAAGTTGAAGTGTAATTCATGTGGGAAGGACAACTCATATTCTCCCTGTCAGTTTTCAGTCTCCAAGTATTGATACAGAAACATTAACTCTTCCAGTTCCTATGTCAGTTTCCCTTTCACTCAGGTCCTTACTTGGTCCTCTTTAAGTTGGCAATTTGGAGAAAAATGGTAGCCAGACACCAAGAGGAAAGTTAAGAGCTGTGATTTGATTAAATTCAATGAACATACAAAGCTTTCAAAGTCAAACTCACCAATACTTGAAGTCGAGGACAGTGTATAGAAAGTTGGATTAATGTACTATCTGTTATCTGAAATAAACACATACGTTTTAGATATAATTTAAAAAAACTCATGGGCTATACCTCATTCTCAACTAGTCTTACATTCTAGAGTAACATCCTGTTACTAATCATCAAATAACAGAATTTTAAAAGTCAAAATCCCATCAGCTACCTGAGTCAGTTCTTTGAGAACCCATCCAGGCTAGGCTTGAACACATCTAGTCATCTCTAGTCTTCACTATGAACAGGTCTGCTGAAAATTCTGTTTTGTTTTGGAAATGAATGAAAATCTGCCCCTAGTAACTTGTATTCACTAGACTTTTTTTCTATCTCCTTAGAAGCAGCACAGAAAAGAATCAGAAGACACTGCTCCATGAAAAAAATTAATGTATGAACACCCTCAAATTTTTAGATATGTTGCCTATATTTTATAAGCGATGCCACAAATCAGATTTGATAACTTAGCTGTCAGTTATTTTTCCCAAGGGTGGCAGAAAGGGGCTGCTGGAATCTGGGCTAATTATGAACATTCAGGAAGGAAGAAGTCCTGAAGGAAGAACAGTCCTGAACAGTTATCTTAGAATGGAAAGTTAAACAGCACTTCTTTCCAAATTCTTCTCCAACTATGAGATTATTATTACCATAATATGCATAGCTTCACAGGGGCTAAGGAATGGCGGGGACTGGGTGGTAGGAGGTTGGGGCAGGTAGGTATGTGCACATCACTCAGGAGAACTAACACTGAAAAGGACACACAGGATACTCAGGCATGTGCAAGAGATAGATGCATGTGAACACGTTTTAGTTTAGGAAGAACTAATAGCTACTAAGTAGTGTCCAGATAACAAGTAACTTAGAAAAAACTGACCTCACAGTTACCAAAGTATTTTCTCTTCTTTATTTTTACCACTAAAAATATTTGTTCCTCATGTAATTGTAGATTAATGATACCAAAAAAAAAAAATTCATTGCTCTATCTTCTTTTCAGGAGTCCCCCTTCCAAGTTTCTCCCCAATCATCCAATCTCAAAGCTCTTAGAATTGGTAATAAAAGAAATTACTGATAAAGAGGTATCTTGTAGGTCTCCCTACCCAAAGAGCAGGGGTCCAGAATTGGGTCTCCAGGGCTAATGATAAAAGGGGTCCAGGGTCCCTTAAGCTAAAAAAGGACAGTGCTATGTATCAGTGTGATGGGGCTTTAATTATTTACTAGTATTATAACCTTGTAGTTCTAAGGAATCATCTTAACATACTATGGCCTGAATGCGTAGGCCTTCTTTCTTTGCAACAGAAACCTTATTGATGGCATGTATTTTTCTAGTTCCTTAACACACGTCACGAGCAGTTCTGTCTGGTATGCCTGGAGGACACTTCAATAAACAGAGAGTTGGCAGTGCGCCAGGCACTACACCACACTAGGGTAGGGAATCCAGCATTCTGATATGCATGTATTATGTTAAATTTCTATCACAGTGTTTCCGAGTAAAAACGTACAATCTTACCTGAACACATTCTTCCAGGTCCATCTTTTCAAGCTCATGGCAGTTCTACAAAATACAAAACAAAACACTACAGTGTAAATTTAAAACAAGGGAAAAATCTAAGGCCAGAAAACTAAGAAGTTGTATTAAATATACTGATGAAATCTTAAGAGTTTCAGAGTTTTTGTCATTGTAATGTCAATTTCTGTTTTATTAACTGCACATTTTAAAGGCCTTGATCACAGTGAAATTTCTCAATTATTCCATATTTAAGGTAGCTAACATTTTACAAGTCCAATAAATTTGAACATTAATACTGAGCTAATACAGAGATCCTTTCAACCATAAATAATTTAACAAAAATGTTTCTCTGGAATGTTGAAACCACAATGTTGTTCATGTGAAACCTTTGTAAATTGCGTATCAATGATACTTCAATTAAAAAAAAATGTTTCTCTGGAAGAGTGGAGGGGAAGCTTTATGTCCTCATTTAGTTATGGCATGAGCTGACCCCCATCCAATCAGTATTCCATCTATCTGCCTGAAAGCAAATATCCTTTCCATGTTCTATTACATTGTTCAAAGACAGTGTAATTGTAAATACTATTATTATACAGCGATTTGCAAACCATTCTAAGTATCAAACCTTCTGGAGAATACAGAGAATCTCTTAAAACATCTCCATTTAAAATCAGGCTTATGTGTTCCTTTCAATAGTATTTTCATCCACCACTCTGGTACCAAATAATGAAGTAAGTTCTTTCATAAAGTCCCTGCTTAGTTTATCATTTTATGAAAATGTGGGAAATCAAGTCTCATGAAGGAGCACATGTTCTCCAATGCATGTCTGCATTTCCAGAGCTATCTGTATTCTACAGGCCTGTAGCTGTAACATAAGAATGCTCAAGAACACAGATACAGGTAAGTTCCCCCATACCCTCAATTCTGCTGCTATCCCTTCACTGCTCATTCTTCTGCAATAAAATCCCAAACAAAACCTACAGAACCCAGAAAAAATACTTACCCTGGCCAGAGTGGTAAAGCCTACATCTGTTAATTGAGAACACCTTGACACTTCTAATATTCTGTTAAAAAAAAAAACAAAGGGAAGGTCAGACCCTTGGTGCTTGAAAACTGTGTTTATTATAACAGCAAGGATTTAAGAAAACAACCTCCTATTCCCTAAGGATTATACAATATGGAGTGACATGAACAAGCTAAGCAAGTCTGTATACAGATCTTGCCATTCATTTTCATGGAGTTATCATAAGTGGTCTTGTAAATACCACATTTCTGGGTGATGCAACCAGGAGAACATAACAAGCTTGTAGTTAATGCCAAAAATGCATGGGAAATGCATTTAAAAGCCTTCTTGATGGCATTACTGCTTACCCCCAGAGGGCAGCCTGCTCCTAGAAAACAAAGGAAATGGAGATAAAGACTTCTGTTTCAGTTAATCTGTTGCTAAGTAAATTATCCTCTTTCCCTGTTTTACTTAAGGTTCACTCAGATTTAAACAGCTTTAAAAGGCTGTGAAGGGACAGACTGGTTAACTACAGGCCTCTACCAAACAATAAATTCCATACTCATGAAAAAATAGCCTTAAGCTTCCTGCCTCCTCCTAGAGGCTCACAGGGAGGCCCAGCTGGAGAGCGGTGCTGAGCTGACAGCCACTCCCCTTACAAAGGAACGGCTAAACTCCCACCTAAATACCAACCACAGGACTGGGGAATCAAAAACTTGTTCTGTGAAAAGTTTGGTGGCATCTGCACATGGTACCAAAGAACACTTATATGTTTGCTGACAAATTACTTGCTATGAAAGTTGAAAAACATAAATTTAAAGTATAAGAAATTATTATTGACAATCAATTAGAAATGAATGCTTATCTAATGGGAAAGCATGATCTGACTGAAGCTAACTTTTGAGTATCACATTTGAGGACCTTTCTATTCTAAAATTTAAATCATGGAGGATGCAGCTAAACACTCCTCTCTTTAAAACAGGGAAAGGTAACATGTAATATTTTTAGAGGAGTTTGGCTACCTCCTTAACTCCTGAATAGTACTCTATTCTAGGTTTCTAATACAAAATCACTAATTTTTACGAGTAAGTCTATGATCTATTAAGGAATTTTGATATGTAGGCAAATTTTCTTTCAATAATTATGGTTAGGCCCATGGCCAGGTGATTATAAAAAAAGTTTCAAGAAAGCTCTATTGGTTTACAAGGGTTATTACAGGTAAGACAAGTGGTTTCATGGATTTTGGAGCCAGATGGCCTGGGTTGGAATCCTTGTTCCTGCCCTCACCAGCTGTGAGACCTTGAACAGGTTACTTGACCTCTCTATATGGAGATAATAACAGTGTTTATATAGTGTCATAATGATTAAATTAATTAATTTAGTAAATCACTTGAAACAATGGTTAAACATGTCTAACACATAGTAAATATTACATATTTTTTACTTAAAAAAAAGGTATATGGGTATCATCCCTATTTATTATAAAGGTACACATGCTCTTACAGAATCAACATAGGCTTGATACCATGGTGCATGTTCACACAGCATTCCTGGTAAATATTTAGCCAATCTTATACTTAGGCAGAGATAAGGAGCCACAGAGAATTAAGGATGGCTCTTAAAGACCATTCAGCACAAATGAGTTTCTCTTGCAGAGCTGTTATTTCTTTATAAATATTCTATCTACCAGGCATCATTACTACCACATAAATGACCACAGGTCAGGCCTTTAAAAACTTTCTTCAGAAAGGAAATAAATGAAAACATTAATAATAGAAAACACCTTTATTTCTTTTTTCAAGCAATGTAACAAAATTTTGATTTTTTTCTAGTATGAATAAAAGAGGTAGAAAATGGGGACTATTACCCCTTGGTTCAGGCCAATTACATGTAGTCAAATGAGGAACAAAGTAAATAGGTGGGCTTCTGAAAGGGTAGTGGCCTTGTAGCGAGTACCTGAAAAATGTCAAGGTTCCAAGGAACAAACATAGGTGAAGGAGGCCTGTTTCTTTCCCTTGATTTTTCCGAGATAAACAAGAAATGTTTACCTAAGCCGTGGGCAGTTCTGACCTAGAGCATTCAGGATGGCATCTGTGATGTTGGAGCAGCCAGAGGCACAGAGGGACTGTAATTTATGACACCCTCTGCAAATAGTAATAAGACCTTCATCTGTGATTTGCTAAAAAAAAAGAGCAAAAAACCACATAGATTTAGTAACTTAGTAGAAGAAAAAGAAGGAAAAAAGTTACCTCTGAAAATAAGTACCAAAAAGAAAACAATTTAATATTAATTGGGTAGCAGACCTAAAAGAAAACACACTTTGTTTCTTCCTTCCAGTTCCTTTTGATTTAGTTTGCAAGAGAATCTGTGCTCATTTTTGTTGTAAAGAAAAGAAGCTAAATGGGATTCTTTTAACCTAATGGGGCTGGAAACAGCACAGGGCACATCATAGGGTAGATTCAATTAAACGATTTTAAAACCTAGAAAACAGATAAGAAGAGCAGTGTTTTAATAGTATAAACATATTTTTAAGTTCAAAGTTGACACTGATATTAACTTACTGAAAAAAAATGAAGCCTGTGATGACAGTTACAATCCTGTATCAATCATACATGAATTTATTTATTTTAGCTTCATAATATAAAGAATATCCTAATTTATAAATAGTTGTGTCCAACTCAAATTTTGTATGTTTTAAACTATTTTAAAATGAAAAAAAGAACACACAAAGATGTTACAGTGGAAAAAAGACATCACGTATAAACATCCTCACATGTTGGATACAATAAGCACTTCAATTTGCCTGTTAGATTCACTAATTTTTTGTAAGCTTCACAACAAAGCTTTCTGTCATCTCTGTTTAATCAAACAGTCTCCTTTGGCTGTAAAGACAACTGAAAACATAAAAATCAAACTTTAAATATTCACTGCTCAAGTCAGTAAGTTCTCAATATTGTGTAACTGACACAAAATAGGGATAAAAAATGGATGCCATGGCAGACACAAGATTTGTCATGAGGATTAAATTCAGGAGGTACAGACACATGTGTACCTAAAAAAGTGCCACCAACTGTGATGCACTGTCATTACTGAACAAGGAGAGGGGAAATGTAAAGGAGGAAGCAGCAAACATGTTTTAGCAAGCCAATGAGACTCTCACACAATATTAGGAAAGTGTGGTAGGGCCATGCTGCCTTTTTCTTCTTAATGTTTTAAAGTCTATAAGGAATTACTGAGGAAGAAAGATAAAAAGTCATATAACCAATACTTAAAATTCTAAAAAGAGTAAAATTTACTAAACTATTCCACTTTCAAATTAGTCAAGAAAAAGAAGATGGATCAAGAAAGTACTTTGGTCACTTCAATAGTAGTGGGCAGGAACATGCAGTCTCATGAATGTTGAGAATTATTTCCTCACACTGTACAGAAGGAATGATGGAAAGAATGACTCAGGCCCTAAGGTCTGGGTGAAGGGAAACAGTAAAATAACACATATGCTGGAACTGGTTCTTTTTGCTTACCAACTGTGATTTCTGCCTGCTGGAAGTCTAAAGGATGAAACTAAAATGGCAAATGGTAGGAACGGTGTGTATGTCTGTATGTATAAGTATATATTTAACTGAAGATGCCTAAGAACAGTTTTTTCCTATCACTGTATAATGATGGTTTCATGTTTACAATAGCTTCCAGTGTAAGTCCTTTCTCTCCAGCCAAATATTTCAAGTGAAATTAAGCAAATTCTGGTAGTTAGCAACTTCTTGGCAATCAGAAGTAAAAAGAATGGGCAGTCCAAAAGCCTCCTAGGCAGATCATTATCAGAACTGTCCCTTAAGGGATAGAAGGACAGGTTGCTTAACTGCACAAAATGTGGCCTGTTATCTATCACTCTAAAACTGAACAACCACTATGTTCTCAAGTTTCAAGTGATCAAACATTAAGGGGAGGGCATAACAGGTAGAAGCTTAGCAAAAAGAAGGAAAACCTTACCAGTTTTTTTCATCGGCGCTAGAGGCTCTTGCTATAAGGCAACATGCATATGTGATTTTCAAAGCAAGAGAAAAAAGCTAAAGCTGTATTACTGCCAATGTTCTAGGACCCTGAACAGTTTCAGCAAAATCTCTGAGCAAAATTCGGGGGTCTAAAGATAGACACAAAAAGTTGATAGTCTAAACAAGCCAAATGTGATCAACAAATGCTACTTGAAAAAAACTTAAAGGGTACCTTTTGCTTGTTATCTGTTTAGATCACTGGTTCCCAATAGTTATAATCCACTAATAGATCTTAATCAGTGTGACTGCAATTAATTTACCAAGAATATTTTAAATACTGAGTTTGTGAATAATTTACTTCTAAAAAGTAGAGTTTTCCTAAGTAGAAAAGAAAGGGGTGGAGTTAGTTAGCTAATTTGGAATTATGCTATTACTAAATTACTCTATATCTTATCTACGTCAAAGTCCCTACAAATGAGCATTGTCAAACATGTAAAGAATCATCGGCATATTTACTGTGTCCCCAGGGTTGAAGTGGAAAAACCACTGGTCTTGATGATTGAACCTCTTACAATAATATTATAATGAATTACTAATGCAGAAGAGTTGTGGAAAGGACTGCTTACTAAGCAAGTCTGCAAGTTCAAAGTCACCAGTTCAGGACAGTGTGCCCCTATGTACTTGAGAGCTTCATCTTCTAGCTAGAAACATTGAAGAGAGAAAAAAATGATTAGTGACATTGTTTCAAAGGATAGAGATTTAAGAGTGCACACATTCATTAATACATTTAAATATAGCCAACCAAGTCTCAAAGGAACAATGAGATATGACCACATAAAGGCATAATTAATATCGGTACAATTATCAGTATTTTTCATGAATTCTGATGATACCAAATTCATGTTATCACCAAATCAAGGAAAAGGAAATATATACTGCATGATGTTTATGGATTTTTCTTTCTAATTAAACACACTTTGCAGCATTTTGTCAAATGAATTTGGAGCTAAAATAATTTTCACACTTCTGCAGATCCTGTATAAAGTTCTTTAAAAACAAACTTTTTGGAGCAGGAGCTGAGACAGGAATTCACAGTTTATTTGCTATTGGAAGATCAGCACCATGCTTACAGTGCTGAGAACAGATAGCAAGCAATTCATTATGATGATGCATTCCAATCAATATTTTTCAGGATTCCATAAATAACCAGAAGCTCAAGAAGTGATATTTCCAAAGGAATCCAAGCATAGTATTAGTATCAAATAATAAAATAACGTAACAAGAGCCAACGCTACTTGGTCAGTCACATCTAAATCCACTTTTGATCATTTCCCTTCAGCTGCTACCATGTCAATTCCTTTTTTAAGCTGTAAAATACTGAGATAGTAAATTTTTTAATGACACAATATCATGGGATTTGTAATGTGACTGGCAGGAAATAAGCATCAACACTATAAAATGTAGGTTGCTGTATATTAGGCACATTAAAGAAAAGGTCCTGGTGGTTAATAAGCAACTAGTGAAAGTTGCCAAGACTGCTTTCCTTGCCCACCCAATTCAAGGTCTCAGGTAGTGACAACATGGCAAACTTTCTTTTCAGATTAGATTGCGTGAAATCCTTCTTGCCTACACTCAGAATGACTTTGTCCTCTTATCTTGCCTCTTCTCAAAAATTTATCTTTGGTTGGGTGTTAATTCTTTTTGTATTTGTACTCTAAGGAAAACACTTTAATTTTTGGTAAGCATGTGTCTTCGGTCAACACTACACAACTACATATTCTTCAAGCCAACATACTAGGGCTGCCTACAAAGCTCATGGTTCTTCTGCATTCATGAGCACTACATGCCACCTTACCTGTGTGCAGCCTTTTAAGAATAAGGCTTTGAGACCCCCACAGCCTCTCACTAGTGCTTGGATGCCATCCTTGGTAACTTGGTCACACCAGGAAATGTTCAACTGCTCCAACAGTGGACATCCCTCACTTAAGTTAAAACAAAATAGAACAAATATACGACTAAATCCAATCCCAAAGGCAACAAAGTAATTTTAGTCCCTGGCTATTTAGTCAGGGAATGGTTACAACCCCATGCTCTTCTACAAGAATATACATATTTACTTCCTGCAGATTTAGAATACAGTCAATCCCATAACCACCACCACAAAAAGCAGATTTATCAATGTTTGTGGTGTTCATATGGGATTATATCATAGGAGGGCTATTTGAAATCCCGTTCAACTAACAAGCACAAAGCACAGTATTGTTCTTCAGATCACATTTTTACGGTGATTTTTACTTTTCAAAGCATATTCTTTTTGCACTTATCACTAAAATCATACTACCTTTTAAACAAAAGGTCTCTAAGAAAGGAAATGGAAATTAAGAGACTTCTTCAAGTTGACAAGTAATTTAAGGAGTTTAGATTCAACCCAGATTCTCTACCACATACATAATTCTATCATTTATCAAAGTAATAATGAGACATTTAAACTTTCACCTAAAAAAAGTAAATAGGATCTGCAAATTTTCATTATCTGGGAAGTATATAGACTACTGTTTTCATGGACTGAATTTAAGATACATTGTATTTGATCTCTGCCTTCTACCAATTTCACATTTGAACTATGGAAAAACCCCAAGCTCTATGACATTCTTTGGAAAGTACTACTTTAATTGTTTTATTTAATAAAGCCAGAGGATCTTGGTTCAAAGTTCATTTTTCAACATTAATTGTGTGACTTCAGGCATCACTTTAGAAAGCCCATGTGGATCTCTTAATACAAGATTAGCCACAACCCTTTGTATGTGCTCCCCAAACTGATGCACTTAATTCTATTACAGCATTCTCATGCTGTAATACAAGAACATATTTAGTGTTTTTTTCCTCCCACTAGACTCTGAGCAACTTAAGGGCACCAACAAATTCTTACTCAGTTACACTCAGGTGGAATCATAGTACCTGGAATTCAAAAACGTTTTGTATTTTCTTATCTGTCAAGTGTCTGTTTCACCTGCCTCACAAGGTTTCATATAAATGAAATAATTTATGTGAAAATATTTTATAAATGATAAATGTTATATTACACTATTATTGTACATGACAAACAGCCTTAGATACATATGGGCTCAATGTTCATAAGGAAGGTCTAGAAGGAGCCTCATGTTTATATTACTTACACTCTACTAAATCCACATTTCTTTTTTTAATAGCTCAATTCTTAAATGTAACCAGTACATAAGACCATAATCATTTATAAAAGGCTGATAAAAAAGTAAAGTTACAGAAAGAAAGGGCATTTCACCTTCCTTTTAACATATATCTTCTGGAATGTACTTTAAAAAAATACACTAATATTACAATTAAATCTTACTAAGTCCTTACTATATGCCAGGAATCTTGCTAAGCACTTCATGCATATCAAGCTGAACCACATGAAGTTGTCATTTGTGTAAGGCAAAAATTGTCAAATACTAGCAACTTTATATTGCTCAGCCTAATATTATCACATACTGGTAACAGTGCTTAATCTTTGTAACAATGCTATGAGATAAGGAAACACTTACAGGAGTTATATTTATTCAAGGTACCTGGTTAACAACCTGAATACAGTACATTGTTTTGATCACTAAGCTATAATGATATGTGCCAATCTGGGGGGGCCAATGGGGATACAAGCCTTCATAAAAATCTAAGCATTCATACATAAACAGTATTATTATTCTGTTCAGAAACCCTAGTTACCTCTAGTCATTTCACTTCAGTGTGTCCTGTAATTGTGGCAAATGGTAAAAAAAAATTTATTCTGAACAATAGTACACAAACATAACATGATTTCCTTCAATTCCAACTTTATTTCAGTTATTTAGAATGAAAAATAAGTATTTATTCTGACCACTGGACATTCTTTTTGTAAGAAATTTACCTCAGAGCTTTAAGAGACATGTTTGTTATTGATGTACAGGAAGCCAAGTCAAGGTGCCTGAGTTTGGAACAGAACTTGCTAAGGCTTGTACATGTACTGAAAAATGGAAAAAGGAGAAAATAATGAATAAGCAAGTAAGAACCCATCCTTAGCATATCATATACAATTCACATTAAACGTGTGTATATGTAAGAACTGTAAATTTTCCATACCCCAAATAAAAGCAGTTATAAATCCAGGAACCTTTCATGTTAAAGAGAGGCATTCACAAAGGAGAATAAAGGCTGTGTTGTGTATGAGAATTTGCATAAGGAGAAGATGGTGCTTGACTCACATTTGGAAATATTTAATAGTTATTAACAGAAAATTACTTATATGCTGGTAATAAATCTACATGCATTTTGCCAATCCAGGGAACACAAGAAAGTAGCTAGTACCTGTTAGCAAGTGGTGAAACATTAAGATCGAAAGCTCTGTCTCTGCTCTTTCACTTCAATTTCTATCCAAGATAACCTTCTGTATGGCAGCAATGAAGTGACTGGATGTTCACAAGGTATACAGAAGATGGGCCAGTACTGGACTGAAACAAGCTAAGTCTCTGTTCAAGTTTTCCTAATTGTCTTATAAATGCCCTTGTCAAGCTGATTTGTTTAAATTAGGATCCAAGTAAGAGCCATGCATGCTAATTGGCTGGTATAGTTATTAGGTCTTTCTGTGGACCTATGTTTCCATTCCTTCTGGGCAGATGCCTATGAGTAGCACTGCTATGTCCTATACTATGTTTATGTTTGACTTTTTAAGAAATTGCCAAACTGTTTTCCAAAGTAGCTATACAATTTTACATTTCCACCAGCAATGGCATTCAGGTCCTTGTTACTCCATATCCTTGCCAACACTTGGCATTGTCTTTTTGATTACAGCCATTTTAGTGGGTATGAACCATAAGCCTACCATGCTTTTATTTCTCAATTCTGTAACAAACACCCTTTCTTATGCTTATTAGCCAGTCATCTCTTTCCTTGATGAAATGCATATCCAAGTGTTTAACCCGATTTTTAACTGGATTGCCTTACTGCCTGTAAGAATTCTTTATATATCCTTGATATACACCTTCAATTTCTCTTATTAAGTTTGTATTGTTTTCAGTGTAGAAATCTGGCACTTTTTTTAGAATTACGTTATCTGCCAAAAATAAAAATGACATTTCTTATTGGTATGCTCTTAAAAAAAAATTTTTTTTTTAACTTACTGCATTGGCTAGAATCTCCAACAGAATGTTGAGTAGAAATGGCCAAAGTTAACATCTTTGCCTTGCTCCTGACCTTGGGTAGGCATTCAGTCTTTCACCACTAAGTATCGTAGCACTAGGTTTTTCATAGATGTCTTTGATCAGATTGAGAAAACTCCCTTCTATTCCTAGTTTGTTGAGCATTTTTACCATGAAGGGGTGTTGGATTCTGTCATGTGCTTTTTCTGTTTCTAGCAATGTATTAGTTTATCTACTGCTGTATAACGAATTACCCCCAAACTGAGCAGCTTAAAACAGCAGATATAAAATAGTATCTAAAGAAGGGAGCCAAGATGGCGGCGTGAGTAGAGCAGTGGAAATCTCCTCCCAAAAACACATAGAGCTATGAAAATATAACAAAGAAAAATCTTCCTAAAATAGAGACCACAGGACACAGGACAACATCCAGACCACATCCACACCTGCAAGAACCCAGCGCCTTGTGAAGGGGGTAAGATACAAGCCCTGGCCCGGCGGGACCCGAGTGCCCCG